TCATGCGGAAGCTGCTTAAGCTTCTTAGTGCTGTGCTTTAACCCGCTGCGCCACCAGGGAGGGCCCTTTTGTTGTATTTTTAAAGGTTTATTTTACTTATAGAACTGGGGTACAGACCAGAGGTGTGAGGGGTGCAAATCTACTGAAATACACTGCTGAGGGGAGCAGCGGGCAGGCCAGGAGAGGTCTGCCGCGCCCCGCGGGTCACTCCCTGGCCGAGGGTGGCGCTGGTGCGGCGGCGGCTTTGGCTGCGCCGGGGCTCTGAGAGCAGCTTTAACTGCGGGGGGCTCCCCTGGGGGTGCTGAGGGGGTGAGGAACGGCTGCAGGCCGGACAGAGAGGAGCGTCCCAAGGCAGCGGTGGACTGGGGGTCCAGGGGAGCCTCAGCGCCCTCCGTAAGCGCCGCGGCCGGGCTCTCCCGCCGGAGACCAAGCCCTGCCGCGAGTCCCGGAAAGCGCCAGGCGGCTCCTGCTTCTTCCTTTAACTTTGTTGATGGCAAAACTGGAGTCGTGGGATTGGGGTGTGGATTCCATAAAGGCAACACATTGGCACTGAAGCGGCCACCGGTAACGCGACATACTGCTGCAGTGGCCGCCGGCAAGCCACAGCTCCGGGCACGCACCTCCCTTAGCACCGCGGCCGGCCGGCCGGCGGCACACCCTGGAGCCAAGCCATGCGGCCTCTTACTCAAAGAGCCCCGCAGGCACCCGGAGCAGCGCACCCCTAGGGAGGGGGCACCCCGCCCAGTCCCCACAGCCCGTGCCCCACGGCACAACTGTTCCGGCGTCGGTTTGGGCCGCCCTGGCGCCTCATCAGCACCCGAGGTTGGTACATCCCCCGACATCCCCGAAGGCTGCTGCCACGCCCACGCCCCGGCGTGAAGCGCAACCAGGTTCACACGAGCAGAGAGGGTGCCTGCCGGAAGACCAAAGGCTGGGACTCAGCCCAGAAGGCAAGATGCTCCCCAAGTCTTCAACCTGGACAGGAAAAAGTGCATGGACCACGAGCCAGGGCCGGTCACCTCCGACGGTGCTCCCAGCCCAAGCAGCGTCCAGCCCCTCGCTCCCTCTCCCCTTCCTCCCACGCGTCCTGCGGCCCTTCCTGGACCGAGCTGGACTCGTTGAGGCGGGCACTGGGCGGGTGCCTTTGGTGAGCCACACCCCGCCCCGGGGTGGGGGCCAGGCCTTGGTTAGCGCCCTAGGTGCTTGGTGAGGAGGCTGAGGCCCCAGTGAGGCTCCCGCCGCCCGGCTCCCAGCGGGCGTCAGCCTTGTCACCTGGGGGGGCGAGGGGGAGGGGCCGGCCAACAGGCAGGCCGGTGGGGTGTCCAGGCCCTGCGGGGGGGGTGTCACTGGCCGCTGGTGGGCCCCGGTTACGCCAGCCCCAGGCGGCATCCTGAACTCCACCGCCCCTCGAGGAAGTGGGGTCCACTGAGGGGCGACGTGGGCATCGCCAGCATCTGCTGTCTGGGGAAAAGCCGCCCCCAGCCCGCGCGGCCTCGGTGCAGGTTTGTCTCCGGGAGCTGCCGGGACCTAGGGGTAGCTGGGGTGGCGCGAAGCAGAGGAAGGGGAGCCCCTGGGGGGCGTCACCCCAAGGGCAGAGGCCGCGGGAGAGCCTCCAAGGATGGAGCGAGGAAGGACCAGCAAGACGGAGAGAAGGATCTGGGGCTCACGGCCTGAGGGTGAAGCTGGGGAAGGCGGGGCCAGGCGGCAGGCGGAAGCCAGCACACCCGTCTCGGGGACCCCGGCACAGGCGCCTGTTTCGGGAGGGGGTGCGGTCCCCCCGCACAGTGTCTCAGCACTCAAGAGGCGTCTCTCACCGCCTCTGTCTCCTTTTCCTGGGGAGCGGGCCGGCCCAGCAGCTGTGCTGGCCCCGGGGCCGGGTCTGCTGTGCCCCCGCCAGGGCATTCTGGGCAGCAGCGCGGTCAGCTTGTGCAGCTGGGCCAAGCGCTGCCTCTGTCTAGGGGCGCGGGTCAGGCGCCACCTGGGTCCTGGCAGCGCCGTGGCCCCGAGCCCACACCCAGCAAATTGAGGTGCACGTTCTGGCCAGAACCTGCCGCTCCAGGACGTGGCCACGAGACCACCCCACAGGCGCGTGGTGTCCGTGGGCCTAAGGAGAAGCCCAGTCCCGAGAGGTCTTTGGCAGCAGAACCCGTTTATTCAGCCAGGCGGCGTGGGCAGCAGAGCGTGCGTCCGCGGGGGCAGCCGGGCACGGACGCCAGTGGCCGCGAGGGACGGCAGAGCCGCGCACGACACTTGCCCAGAGTTCCAGCCGCAAGGG